GAAAACCGTGTCGCATTTTTGAGAGTCTTGTGGATCTCAAGTGGGAAAGAGAGACAAATGATTGAATGGAAATCGTGATTTTCTAAAGGAAAAGCAACGGAAAAATAACAATTTTCTGTTTATTCTCATAACATACACACACACACACATATACACACACACACATATATATATATATATATATATATATATATATATATATCACTTCCTTTAAATCTTTCTCTCAAGCTATCTCTGTGTTGATACGTTTCCAATAATTTGTCTGTTAGCCTAGCTGTTTATATATCTTTCTTTCTCTTTATTCATGAAAACAGTTGACCTGTCGATCAATAAATCTGCTTGTGTGTAATTATCTCCGATGTGACAAATGTATTCGCTTAGAAACATTTAGGCATTTTTATGCGCATGTGTAGTGATGCACATTAATACGTTTGATAACAACGACGAAACACTGAGTGAACTCGTCATACTTGCTGATATCAGTTTCGACGCCAACCACATAAGGCAGACGGACCCAACATTTGAAAACCCCAAGTCATACGAATAATGTTCGTATCTCTGGTAAAAAAGAATGATATTTCTAGATATCATTTGTTATTTATTATAGATGAACAATTGTCCATTACTAGATATTAAGAATTACATCATAGAAAACTTATGGAGTATTATAAAGTACAGGCTCTCGAGAAAGCAGTTGAGCAACATTCTCCATAAGTTTTCTATGGGGTTGAGGTCAGGAGATTGGGGTGCCCATGTCATAACACTCACCTGCTTCTCATCAAAGTATTCCTTCATCAATTTTGATTTGTGACAGGGAGCATTATCCTGCATAAAAATGAGCTTGGTGGGGTCGATTTACACCCTTTCAGCAGAAGGGAGCAGAAAAGACTCTAAAATTCTCTTGTACTGCTCGTTCCTGAGGGTCTTTTTGGTAGGTTTCAAGCAACCAGTTCCATGAAAAGAAAAGTATCCCCAGAACATTATATTAAATATCAGATGAGTCACTTTTATCGAACAGCACTGTATATAATATATATGTCTGCTAGGGCTGTGAGCCAATCACTGTTGCAGATTCCAGCTCCGGAAAATTTGTGTTTTTTAAATAACTACAGAGTCCACTTGTGGTTTATACTGCAACTATTCCCTGGTGTTCGCTCCTTGCCGTGGTGGAGGGTTTTGCTTGGTCCGAGAGCGAAGCTATCGACAGTTCTAAACTGTTAGGGCTCCCATTGGCGGCAAGGTTGAAGGCGAAAACTTAGATTAAGCGCGACTTATCCCAAATACCCCAACGGTGGAAAAAGCGGCTGATGATTATAACAGATCTCAATGGTTGAACCAGTGGATGAACAGGGCTACGCATGATGGACATGTTACAGAAGGCGCCACTCGAAATTATAATCGAATTAGCGGCTGTTTCTTTCAGATTCATAACTGAATTCTGAATGTCTCATTCCATATGAGCCACAGAAGAAGTTCATGAAATCAATTGTGCGGGCCACTTCCTGGCAAGTTCCTGGCAAATTGAGGCCAACCTTAAACAAATTCACGCCATCGGCACTTTCTTCCAACTCTTGCAAATCCAAACGTCCATAGTGAACATGGGTGACGGGAGCAAGTTTTAGTGGAAGTAGAATCTTCTAGTCCTGAACCCGCACATTGGCGACGAATGTGTAATGGTGGCCCTCCTAAGATTCAATGACTACTTAGGAGGCCAGTCCTTCATTCGAATCTGGGAAGGCCTGTATAGAAGTACCGCTGCCCATCTCAATCGAGAAAGGTCCTAGAAAATGTGGACTAAACATCGGAAGGAACTACCAGTGCCCGCCTGAGAAATTGTAACTGGCTGTCCACCCATCATGCAGTCGAAACACCAAAAAACTTAAGACTACCAATATGATCTTTGGAACACGGAACGTTAGAACTCTTCTCAACATTGACAACACCGACTGTCTTAAAGAACTGGCTACACTCGATGTAGCCATCGCACCAGTAAGTGAAACACAGCTTTCGGGAGAAGGAAGACTCGAAGAAATTGGTTCTGGCTCTACATTATATTAGAAGTGAAAAGATGAAGGAGAGAGAAGACTCTAAGAACTCGGTTTTGCTATTAAAACCTGCATCATACGAGATCATCATTTAACATCATTTGCTATCAATGAATGACTTATGACTCTTCGTTTACCGCTTCCTAAAGAGAATTACATCACTCTCATTTCTGCTTATTCTCCAACTTGATGCTGATGAAGAATCGAAGAATCAGGTTTACCAGCAACTAATTAACATCATTGTCAACATACCACCGAACGGCAAACTCTTATTACTAGTGGATTTCAATGCACGGCTAAGAAAGGATCATCGTCTATAGGAAAATTCCATCGGTAAAGAAGACGTCGGGAATTGCATCTCTAATTGACATGTTATTAGGTCTATTCGTGGAATACAACTTACCGATCCCGACCTCCTACTCAAAGACCACATTGATACATCTTCGATCCTAACACTGGCATCTGGTAGATGATGCCATCATACGGCATCAAACCAAAGTGGGCCTTAATGCCGATGACTGCTGAACAGGTCATGGCCTTGTCACCACACGAATGAGAATCATTCCCCGTAAAAAAATGCAAATTCAGCCACTATAGAAAATATGACAAAAGTCCAGAACCCTGACACCACTTTTGAAGCCAAAATAAGTCAGGAACTAAGTTTTAATCTAGTTAACGACCACTCTGCTGATAAAGAATGGAGAACCACGCAAACAATAAACACTCATCAGTGTCTTGACACCTATGTTATTCACCTTGTATATCGATGTAATGTTTCGCAAACTTCCTTCAGACAATCCAGGATTTGACATAAGATATCGATATGACGGAGGACTTTCAACCTTAGTAGACTTCGATCTAAACATCTAACACGCAGGCAACACATCTCCGATGACAACGCTGCCCTCTGTCAAATGAACCCCAACAGTCTATGAACAAATCATAGTGTTGGCTTTACAATAAACATCAAGAAAACCAAGGTACTTGCACAGCCAGCCCGAAATAACTTCTTACCAGATTTTGATATTATCATTTGTGATATACCTCTAGAACAAGTAGAGTATCTTTCAAATCTAGGCAGCCTTTTATCAAACAAGTGCACCTCAGAAAAGGACGTGAAACCAGTATTGGAGCTGCAAACGAGGCAGTTGTAAAGCTAATAAAACGTGTCTTCAACAACAAAGATCTGAACTTCAAAACAATATTTATCGTCTCTAATACTGATGCCATTTCGTCTTTTCTATCTGATTGCGAAATCTGGGCTCTATATCGTCGCGATATCCAACAATCAAAACCAACAAAATTCACCAGTAAAAGAATCGTTCAATCTTCGACGGTCATGACATATAGGAAGAAAGGAAGAATCAAAATTTCCACATCCAATCTTATTCACTGAGCTCACTTCAGTGAAAAGACCATGGAGTTGCCCTCTTCAAAGGACCAACTCAAAACAACTCTGGACTTGAGCCTAAATAGTTTGAAACACAAGAACAACTGGCGGTGTTCCATCACCATCAACTTGGAAGCCACTGGAAAAGAAAAGGTAGAACTCCAACAGCAAGAAAGACACGCTCGTCAAAATCGATCTTGTACATCACCAACAATATTATGCGGTCAATGCCATCGGTTCTTCCATGCAAGAATGAATCTACTTAGTTACCAACGCCATAAACATAATTTATTCAGTGAGATGCAGTATTCATAAAAGACAGATAAGTGCATTTTTCTTATATTAACACACGTGCATATATATATATATATATATATATATATATATATATATATATAAAACTGTCAAACTGACCAGGGGAATTCAGAGAAGCATAGATTCATCCAGCTCTTATCTCAAATAACAACTTAAAAGAGACTGACCAACACAAGGAATGATGTTAAAAGATTCATGTTAAAAAGATAAAAAAATAAAAAAACAAATGAAAACTACAGACAAAAGTTCATTTTCTCCAGCAAGACATTCATTTCTGTAGTTCCTGCTACCAGCAAGCAGAAATATTTCTTCTCCTGATGATGGTCATTTTGGCCGAAACTAGTCGAGGAATCTAAACGAAATAATAATAAAAAAAAAAACAAAAGAATATTAATGTACAACCCAATGTGTCTGAAGATTTTTATTTTTTTAATATTTTTTATTGTTCAATATATATATATATATATATATATATATATATATATATATAAAAAAGATATATTTGTAGTGGTTCCAACGAGAGAAAAGTATGTATATTAAAAAAAGAGAAGAGAGGTGCCGCTAACGTTTTTTGGTTGTAATGTGGATTTATTTAGAAAAATATTATGCTTTGTTTTACATAATTTTACGACACGTGTTTCTGGTCTCGCGACCGTCTTCAGGTAAAAGTGGAGATTTTACATATTATTAAAATAATTAATTTTTCTTCATGTTCAATGTGAAATATTCTCGATATGAGACATTCTCTTTTTGTGTGTTGGTAATCCGGAAGTTATAGCTGTTCCAACGAGAGAAAAGTATCTATTTTAAAAAGAAGAGACAAGTCGCAAACGTTTTTGGTTATAATATGGATTATAATTCATTTTACATATTTTTATACACGTTTCCGGTCTCGTGACCTTCATCATGCAAAGAGTTGTTATTGCCACATATTAAAAGGAATTAATTTTCCTTATGTTTTCCTATGTTTAAACATTGTCTTTTGTGTGTAGTAGTAATCCATATTTTTCATGGACTTGTGGCGAAAATATAACCAAAAACATTTGCGGCTTCTCTCTTCTCTTTAATATATATATATATATATATAAGTGTATGAATGTACATGTTAATATTTGTCTTTCGTAACATAAGCTAAGCTGGCTTTTCCTGAAATCTGCCACTATTTGATCAGATAAGCCATATCACAAATCTGCATCGGTGTGGTTAAATTACCTTTTAGGCGTTTAATGTTTAAACATTAACACAAGAAAATGATTTGCTTTCTTTATTGCTATCTTTCTTTCTATTTCTCAATCTCACTCTCTCTCTCTCTCTCTTTCTCTCTTTTTCTCTCTTTTTCTCTCTGTGTCTTTCTTGTCCTTCCTCTTTTCATCACTTTTCTTATTGTGAACTTCTCTGTGAATAATAAAGACCACGAAGAGAGTGTTCTCACCGTCTCTTTCTGGTCTTTATTAATTCATTGTTTTTCCTCTTTCTTTGACATTTTTATCCTGTTTTTTTTTTCTCGCTTTCTCTTTCTTTCGCTCTTTCTCTCTTTATTCGTCCTATTTCTCGTTTACCTTCTTTTTAATCATTTTATTCCACTTCTGTATTTCTCTTTCTTTCCTCTCCTTCCGTCCCACTTTCCTATTTATTCTTTCTCTTTTCGCAGCGATCCTCACTGCAACCAAAGACAATATTCTCCGCCATTGGGCCTTTCTCTTTACTTCACACATCAGCGTGCGCGCCAACTCAAATATCTGTTTCCTCTTACGTCTATACATTAACTCTTCTACGTGACTACATAGAAAAAATACATATATCTACACTGTCTTTCTTTGATTCTATCAATTCTCCTACACTCACACATTTCCTCTCCAATTTCATCTATAATTCAACATGTAGCTCCCTTATATTGAGATGCATGCAAAAACACCACAGCTACAACGCATAAAATTTAAAAATAATTATAACAGAGAGAGTTCACGCGTGTTTTCAAAAATCACCATAACAACGATGACAGTTACATTAAGTTTGTCTTCACTCATGAGGATGATCTAGGAGGAGATAGAAAGTACTTCGGTTAACTAAAACTACGGAGCCTTTCTTGATGAGCTTCAGTTTAACACCAAGCAGTTAATTAGAGAACTAGAAAGGATTAATATGAAAATAAATCGGCATAATATGTCTATATTCAATGTAACATACTATGCTGTCTAAATATACATTTTTATATATATATATATATATATATATATATATATATATATATATATATATGTATGTGTGTGTGTGTGTGTGTATTCTGACCTTATGCCCCGCCTTTAAACTTCCGAAAAGAGGTAACGATTTGTTGTTAAATTTTCTAAATAAATCATTTTTATCACAAAGTTATCTACCATCGCCTGACGAAGTACAATCATAGTTTTGAAACATGAAAGCTTTTGTTCACCGATGTAAAATGTTTTTATTATAATCTATTATAATAAAAACATTATAATATTTTGCTCTGCTTTGTACTGAGCACTTTCTCAAAAAAAGTAAATGCTACAACTGTGTGTTTTACTCCATCTGTTCTTATATATATATATATATATATATATATATATATATATATATATATATATATATATATTTTGGATAGATGTGAGTTTGTGACCCTGGGTTTCACGCTTTAGCGATCGTCAGACAAACTGATTACTGTTTTTAAAAAATTTGGGTTTATGTAGATTGCGTGTATTGGTGTTATTGTGGAAGTGGTGGGGAGATTTCGTCGTTTTGTCATTCATCGTACTAACGCAAACATCGATGTATGCAGACACATATACATATACATACTTGGTCGTCCGTCGGGACTCATACATATATATAAACATATGTAGACAGTTTCGGCTATGACACATGTATGTATACGGGTGGTGTTATGTCTATACATACGCATTTTTTTTTTTTTTTTTTTTTTTCCGTTGAAAATATTTGAAAAATATTTTCTCGCATGTATGTATATATGTGTGGTGGGGTTTTGTAAAATTATGATAGGTAAAAATTATTATTAAATTATTTATATTTATTTTTAAATTTTGAAAAAAAAATGGGGGTTTATTTGTTATATTTAAAGCTGGTTATTTGTTTGTTTTTGGTGACTGTGTATATGTAACAGGTAAAAAATTGTAATCCTTATTGTTTAATTTATATGGTGATGTTTAATTTAATTACGGGTTTATATGATATGATGTGATAGTAATGTTTCAAAAGGATTGGAGACAATGCTATTTAGGTTTTAGCTAATAGTTATTGTAAACTGGAAGAAATTGCAGATTGGTAGAAATGATTAGTAACGGTGGTGGGAGAATGATAAAACCATCAATGTAGTTATAGTGGTGGTAGCTTGAACTAAAAAAGTGGTTGTTGGTGTTTTATTTTTGTTTTATTTTGTTATATGTATTAATTTATTTTGGTATAAATCCTGATAATAGGTATTCTATGTAAAATTATGGTAGTTGAAGATTGCTATAATTTTTAATTACAAAATTATTATTATTATATTAAAGCTGCCTGGTAATAGGTGTTTGTTCTCATGGTTACATATGGAAATTATATCTGATCATATTGTTTTAAAGTATTAAATATGCTGGGGGGCGGTAATAAAGATTGTAGTGTTTTATATGTTAATAGTGGGTGTGATGTGTAAGTGATGGTGCTGTGTGTAGGTGGTAATGATAATATTGATAGTTAATAGATATTGTAAGGTGGTAAAAGTGATTACTAATGGTGGTGCAATTATAATAATGATAGGTGCAATTATTTTGATGGTATCTTGAAATTAAATTGTGATTGTTGGTGGTTTGTCTGTTTTATCCGTTTGGTATGAATTCGGATAATAGATACTTGTTCTCATGCCTACATTTGGAGATTATCTCTGATTTTTGTTTAGCAAGTTCTTTTTGCGGTTTTGTGATATTATTGCTACTTTTTCGTGTGGCAAAGTAGGCATTTTTTCGTAATGTTGTTGTAGGCAAGGGGCTTTTTTCAATATTTCCCAACTTATTGTTGGTGTGATGTTTTTGTCTTTTTGCTGCCATATGTATGTAGAAAGTGTTGTGCTGTTCGAATATTTCCTGTTGTTGAATGAAAGGTTGTGATTGTTATTCCTCATCTTGAATGGACCTTCGGTGGCACCGATGTAGTGCATAGTGTTGTTGTTTGTACTTACCTTGGCCTTGTATATTGTGTTCGTAATTTGGCAATTTCCCTGGAGTGGACATGTTGCTCTGTTTCTGCAGTTGCATATAGGGTCCTTGGTTACATTTTTGTAGGTTGTCATTTTTTTGTTGTGGTTTTTGATTATATCTGTTATGTTTTTTGTACAGCTGTAACTGATCTTTACGTTATTTTTGTTAAATATTTTTTTTTGATAATTTGTTTTCTTCAGTGAAGTGTTTTTCTATTAAGTTTAGGAATATTTTGCCTATGTTCGTTTTAACAGTTTTGTTATATGGTGGGTTAAACCAGATAATGTTTCTCTTTCTGTTTCTGCGTTTTGGCTGTGGAGGTATATATTGTAGTTGTTGTGTGTAACCACTTGCTTTTTAGTGCTTCGTTGTATGGTGCTATTTTGCTATTGAAAATTTGCATGTTAGATGAGTTCTCAGATAGTCTGCGGCTGATTGACTTTGGTATTTGTTTGATGATAGAAGGTGGATGGTTGGAGGATGTGTGTACGTAAGTTGGTGTGTCATTTTCTTTTTTGTATGGTTCATATGTGTTGTTGATCAGGTTAAGAGTGACGTCAGGAAGTTTACTATAGTTGTGCCTGTATTTATCTCTATTATGAATCCAATGTTTTTAGGGCGTTCACTATTTTCTTCCTGAATTTGTCTACTTTGGGGCCATTGGATCAATTTTTATTAAGATAAGACCGTCATCTCTGTATAATCCTGTGTCCTTTCTCTCCAGGATTCTGGCCAGGTATGATAGGATGAGTATGCCTACTAATTCGCATATTTCTGATCCATCGTAGCTACCCATTGTTACGTCAAACAGGTTGTGGTTATGTGGCCAAGGTAAGTACAAACAACAACACTATGCACTACATCGGTGCCACCGAAGGTCCATTCAAGATGAGGAATAACAATCACAACCTTTCATTCAACAACAGGAAATATTCGAACAGCACAACACTTTCTACATACATATGGCAGCAAAAAGACAAAAACATCACACCAACAATAAGTTGGGAAATATTGAAAAAAAAGCCCTGCCTACAACAACATTACGAAAAAAATGCCTACTTTGCCTACACGAAAAAGTAGCAATAATATCACACAAACCGCAAAAGAACTTGCTAAACAAAAATCAGAGATAATCTCCAAATGTAGGCATGAGAACAAGTATCTATTATCCGAAATACCAAACGGATAAAACAGACAAACCACCAACAATCACAATTTAATTTCAAGATACCATCAAAATAATTGCACCTATCATTATTATAATTGCACCACCATTAGTAATCACTTTTACCACCTTACAATATCTATTAACTATCAATATTATCATTACCACCTACACACAGCACCATCACTTACACATCACACCCACTATTAACATATAATCCACTACAATCTTTATTACCCCCCAGCATATTTAATACTTTAAAACAATATGATCAGATATAATTTCCATATGTAACCATGAGAACAAACACCTATTACCAGGCAGCTTTAATATAATAATAATAATTTTGTAATTAAAATTATAGCAATCTTCAACTACCATAATTTTATATAGAATACCTATTATCAGGATTTATACCAAAATAAATTAATACATATAACAAAATAAAACAAAAATAAAACACCAACAACCACTTTTTAGTTCAAGTTACCACCACTATAACTACATTGATGGTTTTATCATTCTCCCACCACCGTTACTAATCATTTCTACCAATCTGCAATTTCTTCCAGTTTACAATAACTATTAGCTAAAACCTAAATAGCATTGTCTCCAATCCTTTGAAACATTACTATCACATCATATCATATAAACCCGTTATTAAATTAAACATCACCATATAAATTAAACAATAAGGATTACAATTTTTTACCTGTTACATATACACAGTCCAAAAAACAAACAAATAACCAGCTTTAAATATAACAAATAAACCCCCATTTTTTTCAAAAATTTAAAAATAAATATAAATAATTTAATAATAATTTTACCTATCATAATTTTACACAAACCCCCCACCATATATATACATACATGCGAGAAAATATTTTTCAAATATTTTTCAACGGAAACGGAAAAAAAAAAAAAAAAAAAATTTCATAATATGACATGGATACATTCACGAGACAATAACGAGACATTTCCGCCACACTTCCAATGTTTAAATTTCAACATTTCAACATACAAATGCGTATGTATAGACATAACACCACCCGTATACATACATGTGTCATAGCCGAAACTGTCTACATATGTTTATATATATGTATGAGTCCCGACGGACGACCAAGTATGTATATGTATATGTGTCTGCATACATCGATGTTTGCGTTAGTACGATGAATGACAAAACGACGAAATCTCCCCCACCACTCCCACAATAACACCAATACACGCAATCTACATAAACCCAAATTTTTTAAAAACAGTAATCAGTTTGTCTGACGATCGCTAAAGCGTGAAACCCAGGGTCACAAACTCACATCTATCCAACCAAATATGTTAGCTCTATCTCTGATATTGAGCGCTTTCTAATAAGTACCGCGCATAT